ACTCACTTTGATTCAACCAGTTTTATTTGAGTGCTTACTATATGCCAGGAACAGTGGTGGGCAGAGGGTACACGTCCGACATGCCTCTGACAAGTATGTATGGGCCCCTGTCTATGTATCAGCAAAATCTGCCCACGAGCTTGGGGAATGCAGAATATAAGAGGCAACCGTGAGGTGCGGCGTTAGAAAATTGATGCCAGATTGCAACATTTCTTGGCTTTGTGACTCCCAACACACTGCTGGACCTCTCTGTGCCTCCACTTTCCCATTCTATAAAATGGGGGTAATAATAATTGGATCTATTGGGGCCATTGTGAGTGCTCTCTGAAAGAATCTATACAAACCACTTATCACGGGACTTGGAACAAAATCGACACTCGACGAATGCTGTTCGCATTGTGGAAACACGGTCCCAGCCGTGTTGTAGGCAATTACTTCAGGAGGGTCCATGAGAATCAGCCCTTTCTCTCTGGAACACCCTCACTCCCACCCCTTCACCAACACCCAAAGGCTGCTGGTGAAGAACTACAGTAACCAGAGGATTATGCAAATATGCAAATTCAATGAGGCAGCCTTTACCCTGCGCTGCTGTTGGTACTCAGCAGCTGGGACTGGCTGTCTTCAGAGAGGATTCCTTTGGTGTCATCACAACCTCTAGTGGACAACAGCGAGCACAGCGAACACGGCGTTTCATGGGCCTTTGTTTCAGCCTTCCTCTGCTGAGCCCAGGAAGTCCAGAGCAGAGCAGGGAGGATGGGCAGGTCTGATAATTTCTTTCACGTGTCAGGCTGGGTACCCACCAGCCTGTCCTTTCCACTCACTCCTATTTCCCTCTCTCTAATTCCACTGGTGCGTGATGGGCTCCGAAAGTGAAGCCTGCTTTCACTACTGTCATTACTCCACGGTAGAAATCCTGCCCCCTCACCCCACCCCTGGCGGCTGGTCTCTGCCACATCCCTGCAGGGCCGGCTCAAATGCTACCTGCTCAGGGAAGCCTTCCCTGACTAGCTCTGGCAAGAATGGACCACACCCCCCGGAAGACCCCTACAGCACTCTGATAATCCCCTCCTGAAGCACGGATCACAGGGCATGGATGCTAGTGGTTTTCTTCTGATCTCTGTTGCTAGGTTGTCATTGCTAGGGCAAGGACCTCATCATATGACCCTGTGTCTCCTGCACTCTACGTGGGGTTGCTGCCTGCATAGAAAATACTCAGTAAATGTTAAATGAATGAACGAGTTAATGTCTCTTCCAGAAGATTCTCTCCTTCTATCTCCTTTCCAACCATTACACTGCCAACAACTGCATCTCTGGTACCATGGACTCTACTTGCTGATGGTAATAGTGAGGTGCAAATATTTACAGTATCAGACTTTGGGAAGAAAGGGCACCTGCAACAGGTGAGAAAAAATTCTCACCTGCCACAGGTAGCATATAGTTACCTGGGGCTACTCATATCCCAACTCCAACTCCTCCTACATTGGCCTAAATTAGCCAGTTATTTATGCCAACATCTGCTTCACACCAGCTTCAAGGACTCACTCTCTTGGTGCCTACTAATAGGGGCAACTTGCATTTTTGGAACACAGAGAAGAAAACAGAGGAACATTACTTGAACATCTACTATGTGCCAGCTGTTTTACAAGGAAGTGTTATGCAATCATTGCTACCATCCTTCCAGACGGAGACAATTCTGTACCCCTGCCCCCATTCTGCAGATGGTAAAACGGAAGCTCAGAGAAGAGAGTTCTGCTGAAGGTCACACATTCATAACCAGGGAAGCTGGACCTGGACCCCGGTTTTCAAAGCCGCAGTATTTCTTTTCCAGAACGCTATAAATCTAATACCAGTGCCCAGCTCAAATTCCCCAGAACAACAGGCTTGCCCTGGCCTCTTTGGCGTTTTGCAGTTCGGCTCCATGAAGGAAACCACAGCCTGGTAGGAAAAAGGGCAGCCGGACTCTGCATTCTGAAACTGCCTTTCGTGGAGCATTCTCCTTGCCTTCTTATCACCTTTCTTTACTCTTTTTCACAGCATGTCAAGTGTCATCAATAATTTCCCTCTGAGAAATAGAAATCAATTGTAGGAAGCAGAAAGGGGCATGGGTAGAGATGGAAATGATGCCATCTTTAGACCTCTACTCTGCTGACCTTTGGCATTGCCGGCACTTGCTGGTTGCAAAGGTCAGAATTGGCCCCTCTGCCCTAAGCCACCAGCTACAGCTTTGAGCGCCCCTAGTGGAGGTCTGCAGCACGCCCTGTGGACCAAACAGGAGGACGGGTAAATTGAGCCCTTTTGAATAGCTTTTTGAATAGCAGGAATATACTTGTGAGCAAAACCACAAAACAAGCCACTCTAATCAGGAAACATCCTCTTGCCTTGGAAGAGGGAGGAAGGAATATAACATTATTTTCCTAATGTCTAACTAAGCCTTGTGAACACAAGAAGAATCCTTCAAGCTTAGATAAGGTGGCCCCTGGCAGGAGCAGCCAGAACTCCATGGAAAAGAATGGCAATCCATAATGAAAATAGTTGTTAAGTGAATTTAACAACAACGCACATTAGAGACTAGAGGAGGCAGCAAATCTGAGTCTTATTGAGCAATATTGAATTTCCTTTATTAATTCGAGAGAAAAAGAAAAGAAATGACACTCAGGCTCTGCAGTCTTAGCACGTAGCTACAATTATTCCCCATGTGCATATCTTAGACAATAAGAAGCCTCTTCAAAAACAAGTTATACTTTATACTTATTCATGCCTTACAGCAAAATGGCCCAGAGAATCATGTGACCTGCATAAGAATGTAGCAACAAGTCCCTTTCAAGTATTTACAAATCGCAGGCAAGCAGGACTAGCTTGCAATACTGTATTAGATGTACCTCTCTCCTGACATTAGTGGAAGTTGGGCTCCAGGTTAAAAATAGAATTTATTGTGAAAGGTCAATTGTTTCCAAATGCACCATGAGAACTGGCAGTGCTTGTTGGCTATTCTCACTCCTTCCTTACCACTCAGAGAGTCTTGAAGTCAGAAGCACACGGTTATTAATGAGCCTTCTGAAGGAGTACATCAGTTGACTTTAATTTGGCAGTGACCTGAAGTTAATTAAAAATATATGTTGCTAGTTGTAGTGTTGAACAGTTGGAAAAATAATATGAAATGTCTTAAAAATTAACACACACGTATTTTGTGTTTGAAGCCAGTGAAGGAAGCAGGATATGAAATCCTTGTCTTGGATGACGATTCAGGATGTGCCATTAAGACATTTTTCCTGGAGGGCAGTGTATTGGAGAGTGGGGTCCTCAAAGGTAGAATCACTTTAGAAAAGCCAGCAAGATGCTGAGTAACTTTGGGTTCTTTCTGTGTGTTTGTCACAACACAGATTCAAAGGATGAGGGAGGGCGATGTGGACTCTGTTCAAGGCCACCAAGCCATTGTTGGAAAGACAGCTAATTAAGAAAGGGCATGCTGTGGTGGAAAGGATTTATGTAAACCAGTTCTCTTCCTCCATCTTTCCCAGAGAAACTGTCCAGACCTGGTGTAAATTGTGAATATTATTGCTTCATAAAAGGGGGGGTTCTTTAATGATATGCTTTGTTAAACAAAAGGTTATGAATTATTTCCTTTGCTTTGCACTCCGCGGCTCCACAGTTAAAGAGAAGGGGGTGGGGGATAAAATGCCTGATTTATGCTGAGGAGGGCACTCCAGGCCATGGGGAAGAGTTGGAGGGAAAGGGACCCAGAGCTGGGGCCCACGGAGCTAAGAGCTGTCCGCGGCCTTTGGTGCTGAAGCAGGTGTGAGTGCCAGGGGTCCAGAACTCCCTAGGGAGAAAGGGTACCGCCTGTGCTCCAGCTCCAGGTAAAGACGGTCCAAACAGACATGGAGGCTCCAGATGGGGAGGGTGTGCGCCCTCCGACTGTCTTCAGACTGGGCAGACCCTGCAGCTGCCTGCTTATTTACCACGTGAGGAGCGCGTTTCTGGTAGCGGGAGTTGGACCTTTCAGAGAAGGCTAGGTTGAGTGGTTACCAATGCTGTCCTCCACTTTGGGGTCTCCTAGTGACTGATTAAATCCTCAAAGCTCTTGGGTTTAGCTCTGGATTAATGACGCGCCCAACCCCCAACACACAACTTTTCCTGGGGGACCTCAGCCGGGTGGAAAAGAGGGTGTGGCTCCGGGTCTGGGAAGGAGGAGCAACTACCCTTCGCTAAACTTGGACCCCCTTTCCAAACCGGCAAGCACGTGGTGGGTGAAACTAGCATCCCTACCTCCCCAATTCATAATAGTGCTGAGACACTAGGCTGTCCGGGGCGCGTGGGAGGAAAAGTGTCCGCTCGGGTTCCCGACGGGGACCTGACATCTTCTCTCCCTCCCCCGCCAAGTTCTGAGAACCCTAAGGCCCCCCGACTGGCCTCCAAACTAAAGCCACACCCAAGTCCGGCATCCAGACACCTGGTTGGGATCAGTCCAGGGACCCGGTCCTACAGGACAGCCTGAACCAAAAGGAGGCAAGGGGTCCTAGAGTGGGAGGGCGCGGCACTACGAAGCCCCCAGACGCACAGTTCAAGTCTAGTCCTCAGTTAAAGGGCGGGTCAGCTGCCCACCTTCTCGTCCTCTCCCTGAAAGGGTGAGAATTATCTGGCACCCAGCCCCGGGTGCGGTTGCAGAGAGCTCCGGGTATCTGAGGTTTGGAGGCGACCCCACTGCAAGGAGATTCCCTGGGGCTGCAAAGGGGAGTCAGCCCCACAGCCGGGCACACTGAAAGGGAGCCCGCAGCCGAAGCAGGAAGCGCCGGAGTCCTTCAGACACATCCCCGCCTCCACACTCCCATCACCCTGGGCCGAGGGGACGCGGTTCCCAGCCCCGAATTTGGGCGACCGACCCCGCTTTCCAACCCTGCGGGCGGTGCTCGAGAAGCCCAGGTCGGCCGCGACCCCCTGCTGCCCCGCACTCGCCGCCGCAACTTTGCCCCTTCCCCCGCCCCGCCCCTCCAGGCGCTTACCTCCTGCCAGAGCTGCCGCGGGGCTCCCCAGGAGCAGGGCGAGGAGCAGCGAGGTCCCGCCGAGTCCCGCGGCGGGCGGCCGGGCCGCGGGCATCGTGGCTGCGGGGGGGCTCGGGGCCGCGGGCTGCGGGCAGGCGGACGGTGCGGGAGCCGGGAAGCTGGGAGGCGGCGAGCGCGCAGGGCAGGCGGGGCGAGGGAGGGGGCCGGGGGCCGGGGCAGCCGCCGGAGCCCCCCGGGCGGACGCGCGCTCAGCCCCGCGATCGCTCTGGCCGAGCTGCGCCGGGCGCGGGCGGGCGAGTGAGGAGGAGCCGGCGAGCGAGCGAGAGAGCGAGCTAGCGGGGAGCGAGCCGGAGGAGGGAGGGGGCTGGGGCCGAGTCTGTGCCGAGCAAGTGCGACGAGGGAGGGAGGGGGCGGGAGGGCCTCAGGGAGAGGGGCCGCAGCGCCCCCGAGCCAACCTCCTTCTCCAGCCGCGGCCCGTGTGCCCCTCGAAGTTTAACGCCAATTCCCCTGGCGTCCTGTGGGCCGAGCGTTTCCTCCCGGCGGATGCTCACGGCAGTCCGGTGCTGGCCAGGCGAGGCCGTAAAGCTTCCTGACCATTTTCCAGACGGGGAGGTGGAGGCCTCAAAACCCAGCGCAGCTTTCAGTCTTCGAGCAGTCTAGAGCTTTCCATTGCTTGGCCTCCAGGAGAGATCCCAGTCCCAGTTCTCTCAGTTGTATGGCAGCCCTCCCAGGGCCCTTTGGGCCCCAACCAGCCCTCTGCCCTGACAGTATCATCTGTTTCCAAAGTGAGTCCTGTAACCTAGAAAGTCTTCAACTCTGGGGATTCGATGAGAGCTGTCAATCTCCCTAGAACAATACAAATGGCCATGAAATTGTGCATCCAATACATGGTGGGGGGCGGGGTGTTCCAGGCCTGTGAAGCCCAACTAGGGACTATAAATTAAAATTTATCTATGTTCTAATCAGAGTTTCATCTTTCACATCCTGTTGTCAACGGGGCGCCAGAGCTAGCCAAGCCTTCCTCTGAGCTCAGCCCCTTAGCTCTGCTGTATTTGTGCCCTTCCCCCATCTGAGTTCAAGACCCACCCTCCAGGTTGTGCTCTTGCCCAGCCCTGATTTCCAGCATCTTGTCTTTTCTCCACAAATGGAGGTGGTGAGGGACAGTAGATGCAGGAGACAGGCAGATCCTGGGAACAGCCATGGCCAAGGGCTACATGAGGGACAGGCTTGTAAGCACTCCCAGAGACTCAGACGGACTGTGTGGGCTACCTTTGCAGAACTGCCAGCTTCCCAGGCCTGTCACCCCAATTTAGAAGCCCTCCCTCGCCCTCCCCCTATTCCACCTTGCCACACTATCTCCACATTGCAGCCTGAGCAGGCAGAGGGAGCAGATGGAGAGAAGGTTGCAGACAGCACGGGAGGAATATGTCTTTAGCTGAGTGGTGGAGCTGGGAGTCCCTACAAAGAATGGGTGGGGGTGGTGAGCGCAGGGTGGAAGAGGACTGGAGGGGAAAGGGAGAACTATGGCCTAGGGGATCAAAAGACCTCTACACCCAAAGCTTTCCCATTCATTCACGCATTCAGTGTTTTTTATAGGGCACTCACTACAGATGCACAGACAAAGAGTCCCTAGGAAAACCCATTCCTTGCCTGCAAGAAGTTTCCATTCCTGCTATTTACCTGGTGGTTTTTATAAAAAGGGAAGATGAGACAGGGGGTGCAGAACACCTGATTTCTCCACTGGGGAAGATGAAGCCTCCCATTGTTTTGCTGTATTAGCCCAAAGGCTCTGTAGGGGGTGACCTTGCCCCGGTCTCATCCATCACCATACACTTAGGGCCTGCACAGACTGCTGTGCAGTAGGCACATGGACATTCTTGTGGAATGGAACATAGACAAGCAAAGAAACTGAGGAAAACAGAAAGGGAGAAGGTGAGTGAAAGAAAAACAAAGTGACAGGCCAGTTCCTCACTTGGCGGCAAGGAAACAGGTGCTTGCAAGCATCTCCTGTTTGCCAGGGGCTCTTACCACACTGTACGTAGCAGCTCATGTCAATTTCATCATAATCCTTCACCGTGAGACATGATTGACTCCATTTGACAGATAAGCACCTGAGTCCTCGAGAAGGTCACAACCTAGCTGAGGTCACGTGGCCAGGAAGCGACAGCACAAGGTGGATTCAAGATCAGGTCTGAGTCCAGAGCCCAAACCCATCCCCTCTCAGGAATTGTATGGCTGTCTCTGTGCTATGACTGTGTGGATGTCCCTGGTGTTTTGACAGCTCCTTGTTACTAGTCATTCTTCAATGACTTAAAGTTCATCATCAGGGTCACTCTTTTGGTAAAGGTATCTAGAAGATCATTACTTGCATGCGAGTATATTATATGGGAGAAGTGCTACTGTGAAATTTATTAAGCCATTGAATAACACAGGATTTACTCATTTACTCAGTTGGCCAGCTGATTTACTTTCCCTTGCCTGGAGAAAAGTTCTGAGATAATCAGTCATAGACCTTGCAATCTGAGATTATGATGGTGGGAAGGCTCTCTCTCTTTATTTAAGACCCCCTCCCCCAATAAGAAGAAATGCCGTGATGAGAATAACATTTATGTGAAGAGCAGCTTGCAGATGAAAACTATCCCCCATTGCATTTTCGATACATTACAGGTGAGGAAACTGAGGCTCAGGGAGACAGTGACTTGCTCAAAATCATACACTTGGTCTACTTTTTGTCAGGCTCATGCTCTGTTACTACAGGACACATGTATCTTTGGTTCTTGTATCAGCGCGGACTTCTTGCCACCCACAGCTGCCCAGGGCAAAAATCCTAGCATCTGTGCAGATGTGTGCGCCCACAATTCTGTCTACATGTTGCCACTGGATAAATCAGCTCTTAGGCAATTAAAATTGGTTAGGAGACAAGGGATTAGATCTTGTCCTCACCTCTTTCTGCTGGGTAAGAAGGGCAAGTTATTTAACCTCTCTGAGCCTTATTTTCCTCTTCTGAGGAGAAGAGATAAGAATAACACTTACCATGTGGGCTGATTGACCCAAGTGGATAATAATATCCCTGTGACATGAGGGGATACAATAACATTTATTTCATAGGGTTAGAGACAAATTCCCATGAGCTGATAAACTAAATCATTGAGCCCAGTTCAGACTGTAAGGAAAACACTCAGCTTCATTCTCAAAAATTTCATGTCGTGTGAGACAGCAGCAAGTTAGGAATCCTTGATTTTGATCCCTCCCCTGATAAATTGTTGTGTAATCCTAGGTAAGTCACCAGCCTGTCTATCCATCCACCTATCCATCCATCCACACATCTGTCCATCCAATCGCCCACGGCACTCACTCATCCATCTACCTACAAACACTAGTTGAACATCTACTATTTATTGAGTAGCCACTGGGTGCCAAATTCTTACAAGATGCTGTGGGTGCAGAAGACTCCATCCATTGCTCTCTAGGGCTAGAGTCTAGTGGAGTCTGGAGACATGATTGCCAAATCCTTCCCAGGATTGATGTTCTATGCCAAGGGAGACAGTGTAGCAGAGTGGTTAAAGCAGGCTTCGAAAGCTGGCAGATCTAAATTTGAATTGTTTCTCTCCTGCTAACAGCTGTGTGACATTGAACAACTGACCTAACTTCTCTGAAACTGTTTCAATGAAGACCTGTGACTTAGATTAAATGAGACAATTGTGGGGCTCTTTGGTGGCTCAGTCCTTAAGCATCTTCCTTTAGCTCAGGTCATGATCCCAGGGTCCTGGGATCAAGCCCTGCCTCCAGCTCCTTGTTCAGTGGGGAGACTACTTCTCCCTCTCCTACTCCCCCTGCTTGTGTTCCCTCTCTCACTGTATCTCTCTCTGTCAAATAAATAAAATCTTTTAAAAAATAAATGAGACAATTATCAGAAAGCACTTAGGGTAGTACTCATAGCATACAGTAAACTCTCCATCCATTTGTTTGTCAACAATTTTTTTTTTTTTTAGCATCTACCAGGTGCCAGGAACTGGAACTGTTCTAGGAATGAAGGATGAACAGGAAATTTTCTAGGAAAAAAGGATGCAGCAGTTAACAAGATGAAGCTCTGTGGAGCTTACCTGGTATAGGTGAGAGATGGACAGTAAATCCTTTACTAACTTAGAATTTCCGAATGCTCCAGGTTCTACGAGGAAGAAGAATGGGGTGATTTAAGAGTAAAGGAGGCAAGCTCTTTTTTGAGCGATGGGGAATGGCCTCCCAAGACCAGAAGGCATTTAAGCAGAGAAGTGATTAGTAAGAAGAAGCTACCAGGCCAAGATCTGGGGAAGAACATGGTCCAGGCAGGGGACACAGAAAGCACAGGATCTGACACTGAAATAGGGTCATTGCAATAAATGGCGCCCATTGCCAGGATACTTCTGTTTAGTCATTTCTCTATCCACACAGATCACAGTGCACCAGGGCTTGATTTTGAGATCTGTATACTCAGTTTGACTTTCTCCATGAACTACCATGTCAAGTGTTTCAAAGTTATCCACACTCCTGCCCCATCCAAACCCAGCACCACATTTCACCCCCAGGAACACCTGCTGTTAGGAAGGGCTTTGCTAAGCCAGGAGGGCGCGGGGGTTGGATATAACTTCTGTCTTGGAGTAAAAGTGAAATGCAAAAAGAGACATCTTGAGAGAGAGGGAGAGAGTTTGCAACAACAAAACAGCCATAGTAGTAGCCCAGGAGACAAATTCATTCTGGGTCTTCGAAGGGCAGCCTGAGCATCCAACCAGCTTCCCCTCCGGTGTTCTCAACAAGGTCTTCCTAACTTCCCATGAGCCCATGAAGCCCCGTGCCAAGCAAAGTGGCTGTCACATCACTTTCGCCAGATGCTAACAAGGGAACGGTCAGTGGTGACACAGCCAGCCTCATCCAGCATGTCCACGTTACCTAGAAAGAAGCAATTCTGCCTCTTGGGTTTCCTTGGAAATGCTTGATCTGTCTATACCACCTGCCCTGGCTCTGGAGAAATGTCCATGCAGAGCGGAGATTCAACAGGGAAACAGAGCCTTTATTTCAGGCTCAAAGTTTACAGAATACAAAGCGAGCCTGCAAACT